TGATTCTTGGGATATGTATACCAATTACGGGTAATGTGATTGAGAGTTTTTGGGATGGTCATGATGGTTTCTAATAGAAAAGAAAGAATATGATACAAATTCAATTCGAGCTTTCACATAATGATGATTCACAAGAATGAGAAGAAAGAAAGTAGATGAAATTCGAGTGATTACAAAAAGAAGAGAGGAGAAAATAAAACTTACGATTTGTCTTAATGGGAACAACCTATTTTTCAAAGAATGATAATCTGATTTGATATCTTGTTGATATCTCGCCGGGTTGAGCATATGAGCATGCCAACACATTATGATTGGTAAACTTGGTAATTCCTCTAATTCTTCCAATTCCATCCCTCTTTCCTTCCTTTCCCTCTCAACACCCATTCGATCCAGCCCATTTCTATCTCTAGTTGTGCCGTTCACATCTTCATTTACCTTCCTCAATTCCTTATCTCTTGCTATTGACTGTCCTTCCACTGACTCCTGAGAGACAACATCTCCATCCCCTCCATCCTGGATATTTTCTAGTGGCCTAACGTTATGGCCAGATCGAGTCCGATCGTTCGACCCGAGATTGGATGGATTATCGACATCTTGAGATAAGTTCTGTTGAGTTGATCCAGATGGGACAGTGGTCAAGATCGGATGTTCCGATGAGAGAAAAGGAAGTATTTCTTTGATCCAATGAACGTACTCTTCAGCTGCTCGATCACATAAGGTTGACCATGAAGACGGAGGGATTTCTTCTCTGATCGTATGAAAAGCGGAGAGGATAGTTAAATGATCTTTGACTGTTTATCAGGTACAGTCCATCCTTATTAAACGCCTAGTCATAGTTTTAAGTTGACGGAAATAGGTTTGGAAATTCACTAGGAGAAGGGTGATATGGTTTTTTTTTTGATATCTCGTAGGACAGAAAAGATTTCACTTGGAGGGTAATGAATATTACTCGTACTGTTTGCGCTGATAATGTGAGATAATGGAGATGAGTCAATTGGTCGAGTAGGTGAGGTACCAAGATGGAATGAGAGTAGTGAGGAGTATGGAGCATGAAACAAGATGAAGATGTGGAAGAGATGAGGATGAGTAGTGAATAGTACGGACCTTGTTGTAGATTTACCAAAGGTGATATCTTCTTGTTCCCAACTATTATCTCTTTGGGTAAACCAGTAGAAGTATCATATGATTTAAAAGGTAAATCTAATATCGATTTGTCTTTTCGTCTCTTCCCAAATACATTCAATTTCATCTTTCACCGTCTGGTCTGTCACACTGGTCCCCGCCTTGTATTTATGTGTTCTATAAACGATCGGTTTTGGGAGTTGAGCTGGTCGGTAGGCCAGAAGTTGATCTTGTTTCACCTCTGTTTCACCACTAGGTAGACGTTAGAAGAAACAACAGGAGATGGATACAAGTTAGAAGTCAGTATAAGAATGATGAAGATGCATCGTGTTTCGCTGTGTAGGGAAGGGGCGAAACGGTTCCCAAAGGATGGAATGACGTCTTTGAGAACATATCACCTTCTCCCGTAAGTTGTCGTGGAGGAAGCATGGCCACAGACCACACATAGAGTCATATCAATACAAATATCATATATATATGCATGTTTGTTGATGCATGTTAGATTGATGTATATTGCATAGTACCAGTTCACGAGCATGTACTGCTTTCAACCAAATCACTCAAACAGACGTCTCACCCTCAACATACATTCGCTCTTGTCTAGTGGCAGCTTCCAAACCCAACCGACGTTCGTTGAGAACATACTTTATCCTAGCCATGGATTTCCGACACTGACATGAGTATGGTTCATTCCCTTCTCATATTGTTGGACCGGGCGTGGAGTCATGTGAGGGGAGATCTGAAGAGATGAAGTTGAGTTGTGATTCTTTGAAAGGAGAGATGGGACAGGAGGTGATAGACAATTGGAGTAGGGGAAGGCTGAAAAGTGGAGAGAAGCAGGTGGGTGTGGGTTAGGAAAAGGTAGAAAGCGGAAAGCGGAAGGAAGTAGAAGAGAAGCAGGGAGGAGAAGAGTAATAAGAAGGGAAGAACACAAAGACATGAAAAATCAAATAAAAGATAAACTCACCCTAAACCCTCTAACCCTCAACAACTCTCTACCTTCATGTACAACCCTCAACCGTCTGAACTCTTCTCTTTGAGTGGCGAGAAGATTACGTTCTCTCAACAAGATATACCAAAGTGTATGTAAGTCGGCAAATGACATTTGACGTAATTCGTTCGCTGTCCATGACCGACCTGATGTCAGTGGATGTGTTGGGAGTGGTGATTCGACCATTCATTTCCTTGACACTCCGCTGTTCATTTGGCCATTGAACCGTACAGCGGAGCAGTAACATCATGTGAATGTTCGAAACGGGAAGTCTTTTGTGGACAAAGTAATGAAAACATAGCAACAGTGAAAGTGGCATTGGTGGTGGTAGCATTGGTGATGGTAGCATTGGTGATGGTGGAAGAGGAGGATGTGGTAATGGTGATGGAAGAGACATCGCAAGACGAAGAGACCTCGCAAGGTGAGGAGAGAAACCCCCAAAAAAAAAACAAGAAGAGAGAGAGAGAAGGGAGTGGTGAATCTGCGAAGACCAAACGAAAAGAACTCACCACTTTTCAATTGAGCTTCCTTATCACTCTCAACAACTTCCAAACTACCCATATCAACAGGACCTTCTAAACCTTGAGGTAATTCAATTCTAGCGGATAATGGTACTCTAAGAAAAGACCATAAAGGATGAGGTTTTTTATTACCTATTTCTTCTTTTTCCATTTCAACCCATTCTGGTGGTGGTGGATAAACAGGAGGTTCTTGTATACCTGATGGTAGAGTGACTGGATGAATACGTGGTGGTCTAATAAGGATCGGACGACCTTTCGGTGTGAATTTAGGACGATGGGTTATGGTCGGTGATGTTTCTTCTGGTTTTGTTGGGTCGTTTTCTGTTGATGTCATGATGAGTGGTTTGGTTCCACCGTTGCTACCATTACCATTACCAGAGGAAGAAGCGTTTGGGGTTTGGGAATTGTCCGTGGAGTTGGATGAACCCGTTGAGTTGGTCGCAGGGGGGGAAGAATTCCAGGAAGAGGGAGATGAAGAAGAGGGAGATGAGGAGATGGAAGAAGAGGAAGAGGAAGGAGAAGAAGAAGAAGAAGAAGGATGAGAAGGATGTAAATCAATCATAACACCCTCTCCACCAGAAATAGGTAAATGATTTTCAGGTATATGATGTCCATGAATAGTAGGAGAAGTAGTAGTAGTTGATCCACCTCCAATACCAGGATGAGGTATTTGTCTATTTCCTGAATGTGTGGAACGAGATGACAAGGACTGGATTGTAGTCGGATAGGAGAGGAAAGCTTTGGGATGATACGTTGGATGTTGGAGGACTTTAAGATGAAGTAAAGAAGGGATTGAATGGAATGTCCGACGTAAGTTGGGTCTGAACATTTTGAAGTTTTTCCTTTACCAAGTTCGACCCCTTTTCCTTGAATAGGTGACTTCTTGGAAAGAAGTCAAGTGGAGAATCTATGAGTTCGGGTGTTGTGGCTCAGATGTTGAAGGTTGTCCCTTGTGAGTCGTTGGGTGTTGAATGTTGGATAATGCTTGATGTCGATGTTACATATAGTAGCTAGTAGCATGTTGAAGTGCTAAGTACGTTTCCGCCAACATTTCGGGAGAAATTGATTAAATATATTCAAAAAACATATTCGCATGAAATCGCATGCACTATAAGATAAACATCTAAGTACAATAATCCCACAAAGATCAAAACGATTATCCCTCCAACAGCCTGATGATTCTAATCAATAATCATGGGACTCATCATTGGTCCTTCTGTTCCTTCTTGTTGAGCTTTCATCTTTTCTTGGAATTTAATTTGTTGAGGTAATCCCCATAATGAAGTTCTATTCTCGGGATTGCCTGAATATCAGTTCGGTTCCTATACTCTTTTCTATCTTCTCTCTCTTCTTTATTCGTCTAGAGATCCAGTGCTACATTACAAAGATTCTCTTCGAGTCTGGAAGTGAGAGGTTGAGTGGTCATTGATTTGGTAGAATGAGGATAGAGGGGAGATGGGAGGAGAAAAAAGGGTAAAACTCACGATGCGCTTCAACTAAACCTTTACCAAAGTTACTCATACATATACAACCATAAATAAACGTCACGATCTATATCTCAGCTCAATCTTCAAACACTGCGGAGATAGCTCACGAGGATGATGATGGAGAAAATTGCTATTAGTCAGCATTGTAACACCTCACTTTCATGACTCGATTCCTAGATGAATGAATGTGGTAGGTGAAAGCCAGCGTGGACGATGTAGTTGCATAAACGAGGAATATTTATCACAGAGATTCAGAACGAGTTATGGGCGGACGATTGGAGAGAGGCAAAGTATGCGATAGCTCACAAAACATGGCCAAGGTAACCCGGGTGTTGACGTACAACCACGAGGTTCGAGGAAGGAACATAGAAGCTAGTTTGTATCTGCTCATGAGTGAGGTTCGACGAGAGGAGACCTTTCCATCACACCGGCGATAGTGACTTCAACAAATGCGAGTACGATGTACGAAGAAGAGTGGTAGACACTATCGACACCAGAAGAGTTTACGCACGACCCGGAAACGGCGAGAGATGTGAGAGTAAGCAATGATGATACGCACACGAAATATCCCAGACCAACAATCATGACTCCCAAACTCAACCCCATTATCCTATTCATCAGCTTGACACTACCCGAGACACGACCGATTACTGACGGCTTATTCTCCGCTCTCAAAGCCCACCCACAGGCCAGCATCAAGATGGGTACCACAGGTAAAGCTATGATAGTCAAGACGCTGATCATCAGTTGAGGGATGGCAGAGGATGGAGGAGCTCACAATTCAGGAGTGTTTCGATGTATGCCTCTGGTGTCGAGGATGAGGTACTGCCGTCAGCACAGATTATGCGAATTTGGTTGCGATCAGATGTTCATCGCGCCGTCAAATATGTTCTGCTGATCGACAACACACCGTTGACCAAGAAAAGCAAAACCGAGGTCTGTTCGAGAGATGAAGGGGAGTGATCAGAGAGTGCAATAGCGTAGGTAGGTTAGACGATGTCCATGTTTGAGGAAGGGAATCGGATGAGAGGAGGTGGACGGGATTTTGATGAGGGCACAGGGGAAGTAAAACGCAACTCACGGCAATGCAAAAGGCCATAGCGAAGAATAACAACAATTTCAACAAGCTGATCAACGTCTGGTACTCTCTGTGCATCCCTGGTGGTCAATCACTGTCCAGTTGAATGAAGAAGTCCTCAGATGATGGCTCCAAATGATGGAAGCTAGCGCCTGACATCTGAAGCTATCACTTGATAGGTAAAGTCGAGTTTCCAAGAATGACAACCAGATATCAAGGAGTACGAAAGTGATTGACGAGGTGATGTTGAGAAGACAGTGAACATTTGTAAAAACAGAAAATTACTCACTCTTCATCCTCGGTGAAGCTCCAACGAGGTGGAACACCGCCCACCCGAACTGAACATGTAATCTCCTGATCAAAGCGGCAAAAGCAATGGTGGATAATCCCAGGACGATAGGTGTCACAATGAAGAGTTTTCGTAGTAAGTTGAAGAACGAGTGTGGACCTGTGCATCTCTTTATCATCAGTGGTTGATCCTGTTTAGCATTATGGCGATACGATCACCGTCGTCATGGTTACGCATAAAGTGATCGATTATCTTATCTCTTCCCGTATCTATTTCCCTTCGCCCTTAGATCTTGCGTCATTCCTCACGATCTCACCATGCAAGGTGGGAATGGGAGATTTGTGATTGAGAAGAGGAAAGATGTCCGAAACTCACTTGATATGACCCACAAGCGTCTTGTGGTGCTGAGTCGAGGGCGTCTTTAGTCTGCGGTATCTGTAAGATTGAATAGACTAATATACAGACGTTGAAGAAGAGATGTAAGCATAGCTATCAAGTCAGTATAGTCAACGAAGGAAAAGATGGGACTGACTTGTACTATATTCCTCCCTCTCAATCCATCAAAGACGTAAAGGAGTGAAAATATCCTATCAAAGTGAGTTCCTTTCTTTTACCATCTGGAAGATTATACGCCCCTCAAGCGATCTATTCCATTGAGCTGAGCTGCGTGATGAAGTGCGGTAGACAGTTGGTCATTCGGGGAGTTTAAGACTTGATTCAGAGTACAACTTACTGAGCAAAGATGAAGACGGCAAGATATACAGGAACTGTCCTTGTCTTTGAATTTTGTTCTTTGATCGTAGCCTTTTTGTCAATCTGTAGATCCTTAACCTGGGCGAGATGAAGTCACCTCCACTAAACCGAAAACAGTGAACGCTATGCAGAAGACGACAAAGGCTTCAAAGGCGGCTATATGAATCAGCAACCATTAACCTTGGAAAGAGGTACTTAAGAAAGACAAACCTATAGCCATATAAATCTTTTCTGTACCAGTGGCCAAAGCGCGATAAGTACGTTTGACCCTAACTTCCTCTGGTTCCATCTCGAAATCTTCCACTCCTTCTGACACTGTCTCTGTGGGTTGACGTGAAGGGAGATGAGAGAGTTGATGATATGCGGGTGGAGGTGCAAAAGGAGTGGTGTAAAGATCTGTGAGTGCGTAAGAGGGCATCAGCAGACTTGTTCTTGAAAAGGAGAGTAAGGGGTTCGAGCGTGGCGTGTTGTGTCGGGGATAGGGGGATAGAATAGGGTCGATGAACAGACCGTTTGACCGCGTGCTAAGCGATAAAAGCAGTGAGGGACATCAATATAATGTAACGTGGGGTTGAGTTGTTAGTTGTGAGAGAGGAAAGGATGTACAGTATCTTCTTTGACTTGAATGATTAGCATGTCTCCTTCGCTTCTTTGTGTTCTTGTTCGCTCTTCATCTTTCGTGCACACAGCAAATGATCCTAACTTTGACACATCCCGTTTTACCTCCGGGATGGCCATGTGTTGTGTATGTGGGGGGTTCACATAGATACACGGAGTGGTATCACACAACAAGACATGTCTTATGCCACGTCAGAAAGAGTGGACAATTCCGGCCGTTGCCGACGTTTCTCCCCCTCTTTCAAACGACGACTTCTCCTATCTTCCAACTTGTCTCCCTTCTCAATCATACCCCCTTGACTAGACGAGATCAGAGACTCCACCAAGGGTGTGACACCACAAAGACTTCACAATACACACTCATCTCTCCAACCTCTCTTGAAACCACTCGAGAGTCTGCCCGCTGGTCTATCCTGCCTCGGTCATAAGCACAGCCTTCCCGACTTGATCTCTGTCGCTTTTGGGCAAAAGCCCATGCATCTCACCCTACAACATGTCTTACAATCATATGCTTCCTAAGAAAATCGATCTCAAACCGAAGAAACGTCACGGATTTCAAGCCGTTCTATTCCTTCTCGGTTGTCTCTTACCACCGCTTGGTAATTATCCCCGAGTTCAACTCCTTTACCTTTGTGCTGACTGTTTTTTTTAGCTGTGGCTGCGAGATTCGGCATAGGTTCTGATTTCTTTTTGAACTGCGTGAGTGAATCCATCCATCCCTATGGGCTTTGCTTATCATAACAGTTTTTGTGTATCTGTGGATGTACGTCGATGATCTCTCATTGTGTTCGTTGAACTGACTTTTGAGATATTCCTTCACATTTTCACAAGTGAGTCAACTGCCCTACTATCTAACTTGCACCACCTTTTTTTCTCTGTGCAAGTGATAGGACTACATGCGCTGGTTGAGGGGAAAATCACCGGTTCCAGCGTTCCAAAAGGGTGTGAATCAGACAAACGAAATTAGCCTCATACTGATCCCCCAGCTTTTACATTCAGAACATCCGGAATAAGTAAGTCGCCCACAGTATGATTTCTTCATCCTCTGACAGACAGTACAAACCGTGCTCGTACACCCAAATGGGCGATCAAATATGGTCTTGTGGACAACTCCGACCGTGACCGTCGTAAGCAGAAAAATCAATGGGCCGGCAAGTTTGAAGAAAGGAACTCTCATTCGGCTCTTGAGGGGCAGGAATTGGCGGAAGGAGAAGTAGGAGAGAATTATGATGCGGACGTTTTGGAAAATCCCGAGGCGAGAGCGAGGAAAGTGAACCAGGGTTTGTGGACAGGAGATGATGAATCTTATTATAATGAGGGTGAGTGATTTCCTGCTGTCAATTTTTGAATGATCGCCCGGGCGGCAGAGTGCTTTGAGAACTGTATTATAAATGATCGTCGTTGCTGATGGAACAGATCAAGCTCCTAATCAGAGAGAATGGCATTATCCTGCTAATTTCGCTGGAGCGGTAGGAGATGGACGTTCCAAGAGACGTGCCAAGAATGTAGGTAGTGGTGATCGATGGGATCGAACCGTTAGTTATTTTCTCATAAATATCCGACATGTTATATACTGCCTTCACTCACTTTCTGAGCGCTGGGGTCAAACTGTTCATGGATTAAGATATACTGTGGTGCCATGAAATAGAACGTGGACAGAGCTGACATATAGCGCGCGGCAAGAGGTGACAGACCTTCTTCTCTGTCCGACGTGGGGGAATCTACTTATCCACCTGTCGCTGCCGACGAAGACATTCCCGAGTGGGGAAGAGATTATGGATCAAAAGGTCGACGTAGCGCAAAGAATAAGAAGAAGCCGCAAGCAAAAGGACATGAGTGGGCGAATGGTGGACAATACGCTCCCGAGGGACAGCACGGAGGTGAGAATGGGATCGCGAGACAGACCAGTGGGTCCAGGAATGAAGTTCCGGCGGGTAATGGGAGGAAGGTGGATGTGAACTGGGATCATGAGTTTTGAGCGGGAGGGGGGGAAGAGATAAGAGTTGACGATGACGCCGACGATCAGTGGAGATTGGTCGACGTTCACTGACTTTATCTCGGTGTATTTTGATTCGGGAGTGAAGAAGGTGCGCGTATAGTTTATAGAGGTAAGTGAGGGAGGCGGATGATTGGGAGGGAAGCAGATCTGGATGAGGGCAGGGCTATTGGTGATGATGGTGTGAGATAGGTAGTATCGGGAAGGTTGAGCGATAGTCAAGATCCTTTTCCCATCTTATACCCTTGAAGAGGATATCATTTGTACTTGTATCTTATGATTATCTTGGAATGCACCTCGTAAGAGTATCCATCTGGTTTCTTCCTCTGGGTAATCATATCCTTGCATAAGATGTAAATATAGGGACGAAGTACAGTATAGATGATGAATGTTTGTCTGTACATATCTCTAATTCCACAGGACGTCTAAGCTTTAGCAACAACACGATGTGATGACCTGCAGACTACTTCCATCTCCATAGCTCCCGCATCCACCCTACCCCTTCATCTTGCGATCTTGCATGGACTCATTGTCATATTTCACTATAAACCACCTTAATACTTCTTGAAAAAGTAAGGAAAACATAGAAAAAAACCCAGCCGGCATTCGGACCGTAAACTCATTTCCTACGGAATAACATTCCAACGTGTTGATGTTGATCTTTTCACTACTCTAAAGCTTACTATTTCTTTCCACTTTCGTCCCATTTCCAAATATTTACTATCTCCGTTCCTTGCTGTACGCTCTACGCTCTACGCTGTGTAACAAATCATCACTCTTTTTCTTTTCTTTGTATCTTCTTCCATAGTTATCATACTTCCGGTCAATATCATCATCATCATCATCGCTTTCCCTCGTCCCATTCTTCGAATTCTTCGACGAAAGAAACACAATTTATCTTTTCTCACTTTTCATACTTTGTCTTTGTCCTCCTATCATTTTTCTCACATTAGTCTTGTGATTTGTGTGTTTTTCCCATATTTAAAACAAACTTTGGTCGACCCTTCGACGATCGACAAGAAAGAGAGAGTTGCTTTCGTCTACCTATCTATTCAAATTGACTTTGGTACATTCAACAATAATTGGTCGACAAGTTGTGGGACGTTAACTGGACAACTGGACGACTTGAAGTTATCATCACATCAAGACCCTTTGATCTTTTGGGGGACCTTTATCACTCGTGCTTTTAAGGGTCCACTCGTGTCGTTCTAGATTCACACGTTATTTCCTACAATACATCCCCCTTTCTAAGAATATATGTACAAGTAATTGGATACCTCGGTTCTTGACGACCATACTCTATCCTCATCTAGTCTTTACTTCATACACGACGTAACCTACGTTAAACGTACATATTCGACAACCCTGAATATTCGCTGTACATCGACGAACTAAGATTTCTAAGGAAACAAAGTTACAACTCTGGACAGAGAAGATACGAGGAATATTATACGACAAAGATCATCGTTGTTGAAACAAAAAATGTCAACGATGAACGAAGAAATATCACCTATAACACCTGTCAGGCCTACTATTCCACGATCTCAACCACCTAGACATTCTATCCAATCTGGACTTTCCAACCATTCACACTCTCATCCTCATCCTCAATCTCATTCCCACTCACAACCTCAATCTCAATCTCACTCCCAACAACAAAATTTGACTTCACCTTATCATGTCGATCATTCAGGTCCCTCTACCGATCGTCGTCTGACCGAAATACGTTCCACAACATTACAAAACCTATCCGAAAATGATTCAGATACGACAAATCATGAATCTACTTCTGGATCAACTTCAAATTCCAACACTTCAACAGAATATTTCGCACCTCGTTCACACGTCTCCAGTGCCACACTTCCCGGTAGTGATAATGAAATTGAGAAACCTACTTTTGGATTGAATGATGATGAAGATAAAGATAAAGAAGGATTTTCCAACAAACGTCAGGATATTCAAGAAGGTGAAAACTTCTTAAAGTTATCTCCTAGATTTCAAGGGATGAATCAAAAAGATGATAATGATAGATTTAGTGAAATGGAGATATCTGAACTTCCACGTCCTCCTCGAAGAGCGACATTAGCAACAGGGATGAGTACTGCTCATTCCGTTACTGGACATCTTGGTTTAGGTACTTCGGCTACTACTGGTCATTTAGGTCATTTGGGTGCTTCAGCCACCATGGGAAATCTAGGACATATGGGTCATTTGGGCACTTCGGCAACAATGGGGAATTTAGGACATATGACTCATCTGGGAAGTTCGACAACCTTTGGTAATCTAGGTCAATTGGGGATCATGGCCACCCCTCAAACAGGTGCTAGCAAGATGGCTGCAGCTGCTAAAAGGGGTCAAGCGGGTGTTTCTATGAACCCTATTTCGGGGAGTTATGAAGGTATGCCTGGAGTAAATGGGGGGACGGGAGGGTGGAGAGAAGAAGAAGAGGGACATCCTTTATCTGAGAAGAGTTTGAGAGCTAGGTGAGTTGTGGTTTCTGTTGGTCTTTATCATCTTATCATTGCTTAATATCTCTCGCGTTGATCCTGGGTTGGAATATGACAACCTAGTCCACGTATGAGAGCGGTTGAAAGTCCCACACAACACACCTCCAACTCCCACGTCCAATCATGTGCCTGTGCCGCTCCGTTGGCGATCATCCTCAGGAAAATCACGTATGTCTAGCATCTGAGACAACAAGCTGCGGTCTGTTTTTGCCAAGGGCTGGGTCTAGAAGAATGATGCCGTAGGCGAGATAAAATACGGGGAAGACTGACTTTACAGAGACTACCAAACCATTCTCGTACACAACCGTCTTTTCCACCTGCCAACTCGATGGCGTCTCCTTCGTCCATTAGGTCAAGGAGCTTACGGACTCGTCATCTCAGTCCAAGATACTTTATCGGGAGAACCTGTGGCGGTGAAATGTATCACGAGGGTTTTCGATAAAGTCATCCTCGCCAAAAGGGCTTTGAGAGAGATTACTTTGTTGAGACATTTTGCGGGACATGAGAATTTGACAGGGTGAGCTCGGTTTGTTCTTTTCGTGTTTTGCTCCCTATTTCAATGGTTGTCCAGGAGTGGAGGTTGTATGATCCCAGCCCGTCTCTTTGCTTTCACATGAATATAGTACAAGGGATGTTGTGTCTGACCACCAAACGGAGATCGTATGTCGGGTGGATGTCGTCATCTGCCTATGGATAAAGCATGACGGCTGGACATTCTACTCGATCTGTGAAAGCATTGCGGTTGAACATGTCGATTTGTCAATGAATATAGCATCAGGACTGATCAATCAGGTTGATAGATCTCGACAATGTGTGGGATGGGTATAATGAGATGTGAGTTCTTTTTGCGAAAAGTAGGAAGACGCTGAAGATTAGTTATCTCTATATGGAACCTATGGAAGGTATGTCATTCTCTCGATCCATCTCACTGTTCAAAGATCTCATTCCTTTCCCTACTTCTCATCACTCCGTCGTGCAGGTTGTAAACGGCTTGTACTCATGTTTCATGACACAATACATTATAACTGGGAGATAAGGGCGAAGTAAAGAAGCAGGACTGAACCTCAGCCGACCTGCATCAAATAGTCCGATCTGGTCAGGCTCTCAGTAACACTCATATCCAGTATTTTCTCTACCAACTATTGAGAGGGATGAAGGTATGTTGTTCAGCTTCTCCCTTAAGATCATCCTTTTCCCCTCTCTGACCTATCACTCTCAGGCATAATCAGCACCTTGACTTGTTGTGGACACGTACAACGTCGTATCTACATACGTGGCAGACGGATATCGCCCAGTAGACGAGGGATTTGACACGCAGTACATCCACACGGCCAACGTCATTCACCGGGACTTGAAACCTGGGAATTTGCTAGTGAACTCTGATTGCGAATTGAAGATTTGCGATTTTGGTCTTGCCCGGGGTTTTCGTCCGGTGAACGGGGAGACGGATCAGAATGAAGGGATGAGATTGACAGAGTGTGAGTCTGTTTGGGTATTTTCCTGTCCTTCTATGACATTTCTTTTCACACTTCATTCTATGCGGGATATTTTACATGATAAGTCAATTTGTTTGGGTGGATCTAGACGAAGTGTCCTTATCCTTTGAGATATCTGTCTGACAATGTGCTGTTCGTATCTGACATGCGACACTCGCAGATTGAAGGTGTCTGGATATACAGTCTAAGCAACTTGACAGATATTCATTTACGTGCTGTGTGAAGAAAGGGAATGATGGGGACAAAACTAATGACAGATGTCGCCACGAGATGGTATCGTGCTCCTGAGATTATGCTGTCCAACGAACGATATACTACAGCCAGTGCGTACATGACCCTCCCTTACTCAGCTGTCATATTCGGAAGATCGTCCTGATAGCTGATACGAAGTCGACGTCTGGTCCATAGGTTGTATCCTTGCGGAACTACTGGGTGGTAAGCCATTGTTCAAGGGGAAAGAGTGAGTTTTGTTTTCCGTTCTTGCTTCCTCCCATCCCGGCTTCTCCATTCTTCGCCAATCTTAAACCCTCCCCCCTCCGAACAGTCTGAAAGCTCTATTTCGAGAACGAGTCTATGATTGAACCTTAACACTCCTTCCCTGACCCCATACACTTCACCTCCTGCTATGTTATGATTTGAATGGCGTTTTTCCTTCATATAGTCTACCCCCGCTCTCAGTTCCGCCAGAGGTATGACAACTTGCGGTTAAGTTCAGTGCAGGAGCAAACATGCTGATGTGTAGTTATGTGGACCAGCTTAATCTCATCCTCGGCGTTCTTGGTACACCGGATGACGAGACTTTGAACAAAGTGGCGAGCGAAAAGGCAGCTGTGTATATACGTTCGTTGCCTTACACCCGTCCTGTTCCCCTGGACGAGGTCTTACCTGGTGCGGATTCCCAAGGTGAGTTACAAATTAACTTGCCGTCTCGTCATACCTCCCTGCTTACTCGTCTAACCATAATCTCCCCCACTCCCGAATGAGACCTCCCTATTGAACTTTTTTTTTACTCCAGCTCTTGACTCAATCCCGTTTCGTTGTCAAGGCCCCAACTCCTGTCTCCGTCAGGGTATCATATGATCATTCTGGAGAAGTTGAATAATTATGACCTCAACTCACCTTCAGCCCTTGACCTCCTCTCTCATTTCCTCACATTCGACCCTTCCAAACGAATAGACGTCACAACAGCTCTTTCTCATCCTTACATGGCACAATATCATGATCCAACAGACGAACCTTCTTGTCCAACATTTGAACATTGGGAACAAGTTGAATCACTTGATACATTACCTGAATTACGTGAAGCTATTTCTGAACAAATTCGTTTATTCCGAGAAGAAGTCAGATCAGTAGAATTTGATCCTGAACTCGATTCTGAAATTGAAACTCTATCCATATCTAATTCATTCTCCACATCTTTGATACCATCATTATCTTCTCTAAACAACATGAAAGGAGAAAAAGAAGATGTATCTCCGAAAAGTATTCGAATCGATAAACGTCATTCAACTCCTTTAACTCCTGATACGACATCAAGTTTTAATGAACATTCATCTGGTATATCATCAGGACCGGGAGGTTCAAATGTATCGATAGGAACTATAGGATCAAGTGGTATAAGAGTACCGAATAAAAGAAGAAGTTCAGGAATATCAATGTCACGTAGACCGACTTTTTTCTCACCTTTAATAGGTACATTGACATCATTACCAATGACAGCAGGAATAGAAATCTATCAAGTACAGTATACTTTTATAGGAAAAAAAGTAGACAAGTAGTGGTGTAGTTCCTGATGCT